GTTCCAATATGGTTCCAATATGGTTCCAATATGGTTCCAATATGGTTCCAATATGGTTCCAATATGGTTCCAATATGGTTCCAATATGGTTCCAATATGGTTCCAATATGGTTCCAATATGGTTTCCAATATGGTTCCAATATGGTTCCAATATGGTTCCAATATGGTTCCAATATGGTTCCAATATGGTTCCAATATGGTTCCAATATGGTTCCAATATGGTTCCAATATGGTTCCAATATGGTTCCAATATGGTTCCAATATGGTTCCAATATGGTTCCAATATGGTTCCAATATGGTTCCAATATGGTTCCAATATGGTTCCAATATGGTTCCAATATGGTTCCAATATGGTTCCAATATGGTTCCAATATGGTTCCAATATGGTTCCAATATGGTTCCAATATGGTTCCAATATGGTTCCAATATGGTTCCAATATGGTTCCAATATGGTTCCAATATGGTTCCAATATGGTTCCAATATGGTTCCAATATGGTTCCAATATGGTTCCAATATGGTTCCAATATGGTTCCAATATGGTTCCAATATGGTTCCAATATGGTTCCAATATGGTTTCCAATATGGTTCCAATATGGTTCCAATATGGTTCCAATATGGTTTCCAATATGGTTCCAATATGGTTCCAATATGGTTCCAATATGGTTCCAATATGGTTCCAATATGGTTCCAATATGGTTCCAATATGGTTCCAATATGGTTCCAATATGGTTTCCAATATGGTTCCAATATGGTTCCAATATGGTTCCAATATGGTTCCAATATGGTTCCAATATGGTTCCAATATGGTTCCAATATGGTTCCAATATGGTTCCAATATGGTTCCAATATGGTTCCAATATGGTTCCAATATGGTTCCAATATGGTTCCAATATGGTTCCAATATGGTTCCAATATGGTTCCAATATGGTTCCAATATGGTTCCAATATGGTTCCAATATGGTTCCAATATGGTTCCAATATGGTTCCAATATGGTTCCAATATGGTTTCAAATATGGTTCCAATATGGTTCCAATATGGTTCCAATATGGTTCCAATATGGTTCCAATATGGTTCCAATATGGTTCCAATATGGTTCCAGTACGGTTTCCAATATGGTTCCAATATGGTTCCAATATGGTTCCAATATGGTTCCAATATGGTTCCAATATGGTTCCAATATGGTTCCAATATGGTTCCAATATGGTTCAATATGGTTCCAATATGGTTCCAATATGGTTCCAATATGGTTCCAATATGGTTCCAATATGGTTCCAATATGGTTCCAATACGGTTCCAATATGGTTCCAATATGGTTCCAATATGGTTCCAATATGGTTCCAATATGGTTCCAATATGGTTCCAATATGGTTCCAATATGGTTCCAATATGGTTCCAATATGGTTCCAATATGGTTCCAATATGGTTCCAATATGGTTCCAATATGGTTCCAATATGGTTCCAATATGGTTCCAATATGGTTCCAATATGGTTCCAATATGGTTCCAATATGGTTTCCAATATGGTTCCAATATGGTTCCAATATGGTTCCAATATGGTTCCAATATGGTTCCAATATGGTTCCAATATGGTTCCAATATGGTTCCAATATGGTTCCAATATGGTTCCAATATGGTTCCAATATGGTTCCAATATGGTTCCAATATGGTTCCAATATGGTTCCAATATGGTTCCAATATGGTTCCAATATGGTTTCCAATATGGTTCCAATATGGTTCCAATATGGTTCCAATATGGTTCCAATATGGTTCCAATATGGTTCCAATATGGTTCCAATATGGTTCCAATATGGTTCCAATATGGTTCCAATATGGTTCCAATATGGTTCCAATATGGTTCCAATATGGTTCCAATATGGTTCCAATATGGTTCCAATATGGTTCCAATATGGTTCCAATATGGTTCCAATATGGTTCCAATATGGTTCCAATATGGTTCCAATATGGTTCCAATATGGTTCCAATATGGTTTCCAATATGGTTCCAATATGGTTCCAATATGGTTCCAATATGGTTCCAATATGGTTCCAATATGGTTCCAATATGGTTTCCAATATGGTTCCAATATGGTTCCAATATGGTTCCAATATGGTTCCAATATGGTTCCAATATGGTTCCAATATGGTTCCAATATGGTTCCAATATGGTTCCAATATGGTTCCAATATGGTTCCAATATGGTTCCAATATGGTTCCAATATGGTTCCAATATGGTTCCAATATGGTTCCAATATGGTTCCAATATGGTTCCAATATGGTTCCAATATGGTTCCAATATGGTTTCAATATGGTTCCAATATGGTTCCAATATGGTTCCAATATGGTTCCAATATGGTTCCAATATGGTTCCAATATGGTTCCAATATGGTTTCCAATATGGTTCCAATATGGTTCCAATATGGTTCCAATATGGTTCCAATATGGTTCCAATACGGTTCCAATATGGTTCCAATATGGTTCCAATATGGTTCCAATATGGTTTCCAATATGGTTCCAATATGGTTCCAATATGGTTCCAATATGGTTCCAATATGGTTCCAATATGGTTCCAATATGGTTCCAATATGGTTCCAATATGGTTCCAATATGGTTCCAATATGGTTCCAATATGGTTCCAATATGGTTCCAATATGGTTCCAATATGGTTCCAATATGGTTCCAATATGGTTCCAATATGGTTCCAATATGGTTCCAATATGGTTCCAATATGGTTCCAATATGGTTCCAATATGGTTCAAATATGGTTCCAATATGGTTCCAATATGGTTCCAATATGGTTCCAATATGGTTCCAATATGGTTCCAATATGGTTCCAATATGGTTTCCAATATGGTTCCAAGTATGGTTCCAATATGGTTTCCAATATGGTTCCAATATGGTTCCGAGTACTCAACATCTCATGAGTACGTGAGTACTCAACACCTTGAGAACGGATTGGACTTGAAACAAATGCCAAATGTTGAGCGTTTATGCAGCTCAGTGAATCCCTATTTGAAACGTTCGCTTAGGCAATCTTTCCAATCTTTTTGATAAACATTTTTCTGTACATTTTTGAACGATTCATTTTCTATAGCTTACTGTAGCCCTACTTTAGTATTCGATAAGTAAACAAATACCATCACTTTTCTCCACAAAACAAATCATAAACTTTATCTTAATTTGTCTATATTTCGAACATTCGCATTTGATTTGTTTGCTTGTATGCTTGCAAAGTTTTGATTATCGGAAATAAAGCTGTAATGGAATGGTATTTGTAATGGAATGTAATGGAATGTAATGGAATGTAATGGAATGTAATGGAATGCAATGGAATGTAATGGAATGCAATGGAATGCACTGGAATGCAATGGAATGCAATGGAATGCAATGGAATGCAATGGAATGCAATGGAATGCAATGGAATGCAATGGAATGCAATGGAATGCAATGGAATGCAATGGAATGCAATGGAATGCAATGGAATGCAATGGAATGCAATGGAATGTAATGGAATGTAATGGAATGTAATGGAATGCAATGGAATGTAATGGAATGTAATGGAATGTAATGGAATGCAATGGAATGCAATGGAATGTAATGGAATGTAATGGAATGTAATGGAATGTAATAGAATGTAATAGAATAGCAGTTTAACAACTGTATGAGTAATCTAAAAAGATCAAAAGCTTTTTAAAACAAAGCCAGAAATGAGAAAATCCACTTGGACTTGGGTTTTTTTGTCGAAAAACTTTGTCTAAAAATTTAATTCCTTATTAAAGTCTCATTGCAGCTTTATTCGAAATGTTAGCGATCGGTTTTAATCTAAACACACCCTTCCTGACGCACTCAATTCTTAGCTTCCAGCTAAGAATCTTAGCTTAATGGATAGAAAATTGAGTTTGTCTTACATTTTTACATATAAAATGTAGGTCAAAATGAAAACTCTTCTTTCTAACACCTAGCAGTTTATCATAAGTTTTTAAGCACTTTGCTGGAGTTGCAAACAATGATGCAACGGTGATTTTTGATCAGATAGAGACTTCCCCCAAGGAAGAAGTTCGTCTGCTGCTCTTGTTGTCAATGGAAATTGAATTTGAATGCTTTGGAGGCTGCACGAAAAGTTTGTGAGGCGTTTGGCGAAGGCATTGTTACGGATTGTACAGCCCGAAATTGGTTCACAAAGTTTCCGAAGAAGAGGAAAGTTTGGCCGATGTTCCGAGTACGGTTCCGAGGTTAGGACGCCCACGAGAAGTTGATCGTCACGCAGTTTTGGAAACAATTGAAGACAACAAGAGCAGCAGCTCATCGATATTGCTCATTGACAACAAGAGCAGCAGCTCATCGACATTGCTCATTGACACGAAGAGCAGCAAACGAATTTCTTCCTTGGAGAGATTCATTGTCTGAAACAAGGGAAGTTATATACCAAAATGACCGCACGGAAACGAGCTTTCTAACGAAGCAGAAAAGCAATAACGCTGAAAAGCAATAACGCTGAAAAACGACGGCTATACCGGAAGCCTCCCTGCTCTCTTCCGGCATCGAGGGATCAAGCAAAGGCCAAGATCCAATCTCGGGACATCAGGATGCCATATGGACAACGGACCAAGGAACGGAACTCGACGACAAAGCCCAAGCCTTCGACTCTGCACTTTCAACGCCAGGACAGCCGCCTGTTGATAATATTTTAGCGTTATCAATACGAAAATACTATTTATTCAACAATAATGAGTGAAAAGATTCAAAATAAACCATGTTTTTGCTTAAATAAACCATGTTTTTGCTTAAATAAACCATGTTTTTGCTTAAATAAACCATGTTTTTGCCTAAATTCTCTACTCGATTTTATCAAACCCGAGATCACAAACAATTTAGAGATCGAAAAGGATTTGATTTGTTTAAAATTTACGTAAAAACTTGAAATTTGAATATCACAACATCGAAAGACCACTTTGAACTAACTAAATGGAAGTTTTTTTGATTCGTATTTACATTTATATTTACAAAAGGATATTTGTGACAGCATTGAAAACTAATAAAGCGCAAACAAATTGAAAATGAATGTAATTCTCGAAGACGGTGACAGCTGTGACAATTCCGAGAATACAGTAAGGAGCCCAGAAGATCAGGTTGAGAGTCAACATCCAGAAAGCCTGAAAGTTTGAATGAATATCGAAAGCTAGCTCGAGTAGCTACGAAATCAGATAGGTTTCGATCAGCCTGATCAGCCTTTGATGATCAGACTTTGATCAGCCTTTGACCAGCCTTTGATCGGCCTTTGATCGGCCTTTGATCGGTCTTTGATCAGCCTTTGATAAGCTTTCGATCAGCCTTTGATAAGCTTTCGATCAGCCTTTGGAAAGCTTTCGATTGGCCTTTGACCAGCTTTCGATCAGCCTTTGACCAGCTTTCGATCAGCTTTCGATCAGCTTTCGATCAGCTTTCGATCAGCCTTTGATCAGCTTTCGATCAGCCTTTGATCAGCTTTCGATCAGCCTTTGATCAGCCTTTGATAAGCTTTCGATCAGCCTTTGGAAAGCTTTCGATCAGCCTTTGGAAAGCTTTCGATCAGCCTTTGGAAAGCTTTCGATCAGCTTTCGATCAGCTTTCGATCAGCTTTCGATCAGCTTTCGATCAGCTTTCGATCAGCTTTCGATCAGCCTTTGATCAGCTCACCAGTTAGTTTTAGATTGTTTTTAAGACCTTTAAGACCTTTAAGACCTTTCTCCTTGTATTCCTTCTCGCCACCGCCACTGTATTCATCCATGGTTTCACATCTTTATGCACACTTTCTGGACACGATGCTCGTCGCTTTTCATTCAAATTCTTGATCCATCCTGGTCGAAGAGGGCCAGGAGTGGCAACACTTCCCTAAAATTTTAGACATAATAAAATCCATGGGTCAGATGAAGGTAAATACTTTTAAACTCACCCTTTTATATTTGTATAAAACATTTTGCACTGATAGAAGTAGACCGGGAGACGTGCTGTGAGTAGCTAAAGTTTTATGTGATAAAGATTGTAATTTTTACAGAATCTAGACACTTCAAAAGGGTTTAAAAAGGGCACTCAAAAAATGAATACATCGTTCGGAGTTTGGATTCGTATTTGATGAGTGACATCGCGTTGAATCGGAGACAAGTGGAGCTGTGGCGCAATCGGAAGAGATTGTACTACGACCATCAAAGGAAATGATTAATGATGAGCGTCTGGCTGAGTGATCTTCACCTAGAAGACGAAAGACTACGATACTAATGACACTCTTTCTAGACAATCTTTGGGAAAAAGTACTGTAAAGTCTATTGTCTGTAAAGTCTAAAATACTGTTGAGTCTAAAATACTGTTAACTCTAAAATACTGTTAAAGCTACAGTATACAGTCAAATGATTCTTGAGGACAATAGCCAGATTAGAAGTCAGACGTTTTAGCTGAGCTTTAGAAGTCAGAAGTTTAAGCTTAGCTTCTAGACTTCGGACTTCTAGACTTCTAGACTTCTAGACTTCTAGACTTCTAGACTTCTAGACTTCTAGACTTCTAGACTTCTAGACTTCTAGACTTCTAGACTAGATCTTTAGATCCTTTATCCCCTATAGAATCAGATAACTCAATAAAATATAAAGACAAGATTACGGTAAAAAGAAAGACACTTTTTAGACGTCAATCCAACCTTACAATACATTTAAAGTTTCAATTTTAATCTTTTCTTTTCTATGGATCTTTGAGCTCTAAGCTCAGGCTTTAATCTTTGAATTATACTCAATTTTTCCACAACACAACCTTTCTATTTCATCGAATTCTTCATTTTCTCCAATTGGCAAGTCATTACTCGAAGAAAATGAAGAGCTCTGTTCATTAGAAAGGTTTTGTTAACATTTTAAGCACAATGGCTGAGAGATCTTCACCTAGGACACGAAAGACTACGATACTAATGACACTTTTTCTTGACAATCTTTGGGAAAAAGTACTGTATTGAGAATTGAGTATAACTCAAAGGTTAGAGCCTGAGCGTAGAGCTCAAAGATCCAAAGTCTATTGTCTGTGAAGTCTAAAATACTGTACAACACAACCTTTCTATTGCATCAAATCCCTCATTTTCTCCAATTGGCAAGTCATTACTCCAAGAGAATCAAGAACTCTATTCATTAGAAAGGTTTTGTTAACATTTTAAGCACAAAGTACATATCAAAATTGAGCTGGGTTTAGATTTTCACTCCATGCATTTGTTTTGAATCATTAATCTTATTCAAAATGTTTCCAAAATCTTTCAAAATCGTCCAAAATCGTTCAAAATCGTTCAAAACCTTTCAAAATGTTTCAAAATCGTTCAAAATCTTTCCAAAACCTTTCAAAACCTTTCAAAACCTTTCTAAAACCTTTCAAAATCTTTCAAAACCTTTCAAAATCGTTCAAAATCTTTCAAAGTCTTTCAAAATCGTTCAAAATCGTTCAAAATGTTTCAAAACCTTTCAAAACCTTTCAAAATCGTTCAAAATCTTTCAAAATGTTTCAAAATCGTTCAAAATGTTTCAAAACCTTTCAAAACCTTTCCAAAACCTTTCAAAATCTTTCAAAATCGTTCAAAATGTTTCAAAACCTTTCAAAATGTTTCAAAATCGTTCAAAACCTTTCAAAATCGTTCAAAATCTTTCAAAATCGTTCAAAACCTTTCAAAATCTTTCAAAATCGTTCAAAACCTTTCCAAAACCTTTCAAAATCTTTCAAAACCTTTCAAAACCTTTCAAAATCTTTCAAAACCTTTCAAAATCTTTCAAAATCGTTCAAAATCTTTCAAAATCTTTCAAAGTCTTTCAAAATGTTTCAAAACCTTTCAAAATGTTTCAAAATCGTTCAAAATGTTTCAAAATGTTTCAAAACCTTTCAAAATCTTTCTAAAACCTTTCAAAACCTTTCAAAACCTTCCCAAACCTTACCAACTAATGAAAAGCTTCGAACTTGGCGAACTACAGAAAAACTATAATAAAAAAAGAACAAAATTTTATAAAACTTACTAATTAAAGCATTCTTGACACAATTTTCATCATCAAGTGTCCCATTTTTAACCTGCAATCGCTCACAATCACCAAAATCGGTTCGTTCGGTGTTCTGAAATGATTTTCATTCTTAAATTATTATAATCAAGATTATAATTATTAAGTTCGCTTATAAGTTTTGGTAATATTTGTGTTTAAAAAGATATTCACAACAAAATTGACTGTATGTTTCACATCGAGATTCGCTAGAGTTTACTCGAGATCCGCTAGAGTTTACTCGAGATCCTCTAGAGTTCACTCGAGATCCTCTAGAGTTTACTCGAGATCCGCTAGAGTTTACTAGAGATCCACTGGAGTCTACTAGAGATCCGCTAGAGTTTACTAGAGATCCTCTAGAGTTTACTCGAGATCCGCTAGAGTTTACTCGAGATCCTCTAGAGTTTACTAGATGTCCGCTAGAGTTTACTGGAGATCCGCTAGAGTTTACTAGAGATCCTCTAGAGTTCACTCGAGATCCTCTAGAGTTCACTCGAGATCCGCTAGAGTTTATTGGAGATCCGCTAGAGTTTACTCGAGATCCGCTAGAGTTTACTGGAGATCCGCTAGAGTTTACTAGAGATCTACTGGAGTCTACTAGAGATCCGCTAGAGTTTACTAGAGATCCTCTATAGTTTACTAGAGATCCTCTAGAGTTTACTGAAGATCCGCTAGAGTTTAATAGAGATCCTCTAGAGTTTTTTTTGAAAAGTAGTGCGCTAAAGTGCCGTTTTGGCACAAAAGCGCTTTTAGCGTACTTTTCTATTTTACTCTATATCTCGACCTCCAGCGATCAGATCGACTTAGGGTTAGTTTTAAAAGAATCCCATTAAATTTGGTTATTAAAAACTACAATTTATTTTGTATATTCATGTGCAAGAACATAGAGAAAATTTGCGTCAAATTTGAACTACCTATATTCAGAAGTCAATCAACTTTGACGGGCTATAACTCGAGGTATGGAAATTGAATCGACTTGTGACTGCTTTTAAAAGAATCCCTATCAAATTTGACTAAAGAAAAGTGGAATTTGTTTTGTACACTTCCCTGTAAGAACGTAGAGAAAAACGGCTTTGAAAAGTCGTAAGTGAAAAGTAAAGTGCCGTTTTGACACAAAGTGGCACTTTAGCGTACTTTTCTATTTTATTCTATGACGCCTGCCAGTAAACGACTACCGACTGTTAGTAAACAGATCCCATGAACTTACCAGACTAATTTGCCCGTCGTTCGCTTGTTTGTATTTAGGACGACGACGGAATAATGATGGCAGTGCACACCATTTCCATCTGAAATTCAAGATCCATCAATCGTTTTTTGATGTACTTTTTGCTATAAACATTCCCGTTTTTTGCTATAAACAAAACAGAGATTACAATGCAGTAGAAAGGCTTACAGAAAGGCTTACAGAAAGGCTTTCGTTTACACTTTTCCTTCATTCTTTCATTTCCTTCAAATCACCACCAAAATCACCTCATTTTTGCGATATCATTGATGCTCAAGAATTGCCCTTTCTTCGCGCCTTTTAACAAATAGAGAATACTCGCATAACAAAGTAATTCGATTAGATAAGGAATCACACAAATTGAAGCCAAATGGAAAATATTGTAGATCTAAAATTGAATAATTGAATAATAATAGAATCATTGAAGAGTTTTTAAGATCAAAAACCTGTTCAATGAAGAGAAATTGATATTTTTCCTTTTCCAATTTCAAGATTTCTTTTGGAATTGTGATGTTGAACTGAAAAAAATGAATGATTAGCTTTGATGAGTGATTTATTAGCTTCGATCTTCAGATATAATAATCTTTTTGTTCTAACAGATAACCCGGTTACAGTACCTTCTACGTTCTCTACGTTATAGGTTCTCTACGGCACCCAATAGAATGAGTTCTCTTGGGCTTTTTGGGATGTTTAGGAACTTTTCTATGGGTTGATTTTAAAGGATTGTCTAGGGTTGTCTAGGGATTGAAGGGTTGTCTAGGGATTGAAGGATTGTCTAGGGTTGTCTAGGGATTGAAGGGTTGTCTAGGGATTAAAGGATTGTCTAGGGTTGTCTAGGGATTGAAGGGTTGTCTAGGAATTAAAGGATTGTCTAGGGACTAGGAAGATCTCTGATATTCTATATTCTTCCTTTAAATTTAGATTTTCTTTTTCTCTTTCTTTTTATTTATTTTATTTATTTAACTATTTACTTATTATTTTTTTATCAAAAAATGTCTCTTTTTTTAATTGCTAAGTCAGTGTACCGAGATGCGATCATCGACCTACACAAATAGCGTTCTGGCAATGGATATCTCTATGGATATCTCTATGGATATCTCTAATGGAATGCTATCAAGTTAAGGTGGGCTTTTCGAACGAGACCAATCCTATCTGATAGAGTTTTTTACGCTGAGTCCGAATCCGGTTTTAACTTTTCCCGGAGAACTCTGTAGCGCGAGATATTTGGCGTAAAAAATTTGCCCCAATTTCGGTAGGTTTATAAGCTTGGCATGGCTTCTCTCAAATGCCAACCATCACCTATGGCAAAAGCCGACCGTCAGCTCTGGCAAAAGCTGACCGTCACTTGGCAGAAGCTGACCGTTACCTCTAGCAAAAGCCAACCATCACCTATGACAAAATCCAACCGTCACCTGCGTCAGCTAGTGGCCTAATGGATAGTGTGCTGGCGCGTGGGGTTGTTGGATTTTCTTGGCTGCTGGTTTGGGACACTTAAATGCCAAGGTTTTTTTGCTTTTTTTGTGAAACATTTCTAAACCCTTTTCATGATCTTTCAGATTTCATGCTATCTCGCGCTACAGAGTTCTTCGGGAAAAGTTAAAACCGGATTCGGAATCAGCGTAAAAAAACTCTATTAGATAAGCTTGGTCTCGTTCGAAAAGCGTGGACTTGGTAAGGTGGCTTAACTTGATAACATTCCCTAGTCAGCGATTGACGATATGCAAACAACTTGTTTACAACGCGATCAAATGCTTTCAAGAGTTAGGAAGAAATTCTGATGGTGCTGAACGTTGTGGGAAAGCGACCGTTGTCACCAAGGCTAATATCAAAAAAGGTTTGAGATCAGCTATACTTGAAAGTCACTTATTCACAGGCCAAGATGGCAAAGAATATTTATATTAAAGGTTGTTCTTTCCACAATATTTTCTAAAGTATCCATAGTATTTCAATTGGGATTTCAAATAGTTTCAAATAGTCAAATCAATTCTAAAACCTTTTCAGATTACAGGATTGGTTTTTTGAAGACAATGGGAAAAGTACTGTAGTTAGAAACAAACTAGAACTACTATTTTCATTATATAAAATGCTACAGTACCCCTTTCTGTCTGAATAACTTTTAGAGTACTGTAGCCAGTACTGTAGTACTGTAGCAAGTACTGTAGTACTGTGGCAAGTACTGTAGTACTGTAGCAAGGCGATTTTTCAATTCTTACACTTTGTGCGAGTTCTCGTATATGATCCAAATCACTTTCTGTCAATTTAATGTCCAAATTATATTTCCCGCTTCTTTCCAATTCTTTCATAAAATATTCAGCTTTCTCTTGATAGTAGACTTTTCGAGCAAGAGTCCTAAAGTCAAAAATTATTTAAAATACATAAGATACTAACCAAACACTTGTACATTGAGTACTCCCATTCTCGAGTTGGGTCAATTGAAAGACGAAGAGTTGTGGAAGAGCACAAGAGAAAGCGAGAAGATAGGCAAAAACGATGTACGCATTGTGACCATAGCGAGTAAACTGAAGATGATCTCAGTTTAATGAGCCATTTAATGATGACATAAGGCCAAAGAGAGCCAGGTCTAGTCTGGCTCCTTTCATCAAAGCCAAGACTGGTCTAGCTTTTCTTTTCTAGGGCCAAGTCAGTCTAGGTACTAGGCTTGGCTGATCCATGGCTTGGCTGATCCATGGCTTGGCTGATCCAAAGCTTGGCTGATCCAAAGCTTGGCTGATCCAAGGCTTGGCTGATCCAAAGCTTGGCTGATCCAAGGCTTGGCTGATCCAAAGCTTGGCTGATCCAAAGCTTGGCTGATCCAAAGCTTGGCTGATCCAAGGCTTGGCTGATCCAAGGCTTGGCTGATCCAAGGCTTGGCTGATCCAAGGCTTGGCTGATCCAAGCTTGGCTGATCCAAGGCTTGGCTGATCCAAGGCTTGGCTGATCCAAGGCCTGGCTGCTCATAGGCTTGGCTGCTTGCCCCTAGATTCACCAGGCATCTATAAATTCCCTAACCTAATCCAGAGGTCAAAGCTGGGCTTGGCTTTGCTCACAGATCGGTGATTGGTTGAAACAGGCTTTACTGCAAACCTGGTCCAGTTCTTAGGTTCACCAGAAGCCAGGCATGACATTTCGGAGTGTCTTGGCCTTGCCTGGCTTGGCTTACAGTAAGCCAGACTACAGTAAGATGTAGCTCAAGTTCTCATTTCACCAACCCTTCCCTGTCCACTATTCTTTCTCACATTCGTCACATGATTGAGTCGACTTGTGATGTAGAGGCGATCCAGAGCTATCAGCACCTGAAATTTGAAAAACCAGCTGTGACTTTGATAAGATTACTTCTATTTAATTACTTCTATTCTTGCTTTACTCTCTGTAAAACGTAATTCTTAAAGCAAAATCGTGAAAATCGACAGCAAAACTAGACCTAGGATTTCTCGGTGTAACTGTCCAACGAAAAATTGCTATATCTTCTCAAATTTCACTCGAATATTTTCGTCTTTCATTTCAATCAATAGAAAATCAATAAGAAATCAATTTTAATCAATTGAAAATCAGTTTTAATCAATTTCAATCAATTGGAAATCAATTTTAATCAATTAGAAATCAATTGGAAATCAATTTTAATCAATTGGAAATCAATTTCAATCAATTTTAATCAATTTTAATCAATTGGAAACCAATTCCAATCAATTCCCATCAATTTCAATCAATTCCAATCAATTCCAATCAATTTCAATCAATTCCAATCAATTTCAATCAATTTTAATCAATTCCAATCAATTCCAATCAATTCCAATCAATTTCAATCAATTTTAACCAATTCCAATCAATTTCCATCAATTCCAATCAATTCCAATCAATTCCAATCAATTCCAATCAATTCCAATCAATTCCAATCAATTTCAATCAATTTCAATCAATTTCAATCAATTTCAATCAATTCCAATCAATTCCAATCAATTCCAATCAATTCCAATCAATTCCAATCAATTCCAATCAATTTCAATCAATTTCAATCAATTCCAATCAATTCCAATCAATTCCAATCAATTCCAATCAATTTCAATCAATTTCAATCAATTTCAATCAATTTCAATCAATTTCAATCAATTTCAATCAAATTCTCCATCAATTCATATCAAAATCAAAAAGTTTCGAATGAAATTCGTCAACCTATGCGTTTCCACTCGAAAATCCCCAGATAAACCAAAAGAAAATCTTTTCCAATCTTTTCCAAAGTCATAATTTCAATCAAAACTTCTTCAAACCTGCATATTCGCTGTCAAATGAAAGCCAAAAGTCATGATGAATTTATAAGCTCGACACATGAAATCACCGCCGTACCACTGAAAGTTTCATTTTAAAATCCAAATTTTACCCACCGATCGTCATATCTTTTTCTAAATGACTTTCTAAATGACCTTAAGAAAGCAAAAAGTTTATAATATTAGATAAATGCATAAGAAATGCGGATTTCAACATTTTCATAAATTTCAAACCATAGAAAACTGATGTTATAAACTAGAATCGATGAATGTTATAAACTATTGGGTTGGGGATTCTGGACAACTCTAAGGCAGATAATTCAAAAGTTGGGTAATATTGGGTTGGGGAGAATGACTCGGCGCCGAAAATCAAAAAAATGTCTAAAACTTCTATTCGACTTCGTCAAATAATATGCGTTTGATATGAGTAGAATGGTTAACTAATTCTCTACAAAATCACATTTAAAAGAAAATTCAAACAGCGCCTCCGCTCAAGAAAAAGCCATTTTTTCACAAAAACTACAAACTGTGATCTAGAAAAAACCATTGGTGGGATCTTCCTGCAAATTTGGCAACTTAAGTAATTGAATGTGCTCTATCTTTTTTATATAAACACCAAAGAAGGTTTATGTGAAAGAAACTGTTCAAATGATGAGTCGGGCTCTTTGCCATTTTGACTAGCTGTGTTTGGGAGTCCATAAACTCCACGAAAGAAAAGCTTTGTGGAATCTCTCAAAAGTGATTTTGTAGAGAAATAGTGGATCATTTTGATGAAACCAAACGTATGTTTAAAGAAGGCTTTATGTGTGCAAAAAGTCCCTTTAAAGTTTTGGCGCCTAGTTTTGGCGCCTAGTTTTGGCGCCTTAGTTTTGGCGTTTTGGCGCCTAGTTTTGGCGCATAGTCCCCAACCCAATATTTAAAAGTTGTAAATCTCCTCTACAAATCTCCGACTAAAACATGTTTCAATTGATCGAAGCATTGAAAAAATTTCGAGGGTGAAATGCGAGTGACCAAAAAAAGGGCACTTTTTGAAAACTCCACTTTCACAAGAGTTTGGTTTTGACTATATAGTGGAAAATGTACGTATGAAAACTTACATAAAATGTGCTTATCCAGATGAATTGTGTGGGTGCGTAGATGAATAAAATGATGAGATCGGCGATTGTTAGTGAGACTTTATAGGACATTAAACGAGCAGCAATTACCTGCAAAAAGAGTTGATTTGAATTTGAATTTGAATTTGAATTTGAACTTGAATTTGAGCTTCAATTTCAATTTGAGCTTCAATTTCAATTTGAGCTTCAATTTCAATTTGAGCTTCAATTTCAATTTGAGCTTCAATTTCAATTTCAATTTCAATCTGAACTTCGATTTGATAACTTTTAAACAACAGCAGAAGGCTTTAAAAGGAAAATTTCCGCAAAATTTCACTCACAAAGTTATTCCTGCGTTGTCCATAAAGCCGCCTGGCGGTCACGATGACAGCGATCGTCCCGAGAAAGACACTGGAAACGAAAAAGGTTTCAAAATCGTATGCTTTCACTATTCAGAATGAATTCTTACGATGTTTAAAACTTTGATTCTATTGGGTTGGTGAACTGAAAACTGCGGGGACTTTGAACTAAAATTTGTTCAACATAAAACCATCAATTCATTCCAAATAATTTCCATTATTATTGACGACTTCTGCCCATTTTACAGGCAATTTGCCGATTCCTCTTTCCTAGTAGGACTTTGGTTTGTGTGTGAGACAAGTGTGAGACTCAAAAATTGAGGACTGGAGATGTCAGCTCTCAGCCCAGTTTGAGCACTTTCTTCAAAAGAAACCCATTTTGGTGTCAATAGAAAAGTTGTAGAGAATCAAAAATTAGGCTTATAGCCAAATTTCCAAAAAGATACACTTAGTAGTTTCGCTTAAAATGCAAGTTTTGTGAAAATTCGTAAATTTGGCATTTCTTGAAAACCAGTTTTTGAATCGTTCTGAAAATTTGGATATAAGCTTGATTTTTGATTCTCTACAACTTTTCCATTGACACCAAAATGGGTTTCTTTTGAAGAAAGTGCTCAAATTGTCACATATGACAATAGCCCGCAGTTTTCAATTCACCAACCCAATAGAAAAGTTAGAATAAATCCCATCTAGCACACTTATTCTTTTCTTTTCTTGCAAGAACGCCTTTTTTGCCGCTTTGAGTTCTTTGTGGTGCGCTAGGTGGCGCGTGTTTATGTGAATCCTCTTTCCAATCCTCGACCGTGTTCCAATCTTGCTTTTAAGCGGACTTTGTGCTTTGACATAAAAACACACCCTTTCTAGCGCACTCTTTCTAGCGCATTGTATTCTCTATTTTTCTTGCAGTAACGACTTGCTTGACTCGAAAAAATTAAGAATAGAGTGCGCCAGAAAGGATGCGTTTGGCCAATGGTTGAAGTTTGGCCAATGGTTGAACTCCAAAGAACAAGTCAAGCTCCCCATTTCCCTCAAAAACCCACCCAATTCCATATATCCACAACTCGGCGATGTAGCTCTTGTGCGAGAGTTGAAAGTCGATCAAGTGTTGCTCATCATCCATCTCAATTTCGCGATATACTTTTCGTTTCTAAAGATCTACAAATCTACAATCAAAAATTGAAAAATGGCAAAATTTCCCTGAATTCTCATCAAATTAAAAATAATTGTCAAGAAAAATGAAAAAAAATGGCCACTTATACATCGATATAATGGATTTTGAAATGGGAAAAACGAAAAATGGGAAAAGATCGAACAAAAAGAGAAAAAAGATGCAATAATAGCGAATTTTTTGGAAAAGATCTTCATTTGGGATTTGTGAACTGCAAACAATTGAAAACAACAACAACAATACTCAAAATGAACTAGTGTTGTCAAATTTAGTACTGTAATCTAGATTTAGACAACAATTTGCATACAGAAAGTCAATTCCCTTGAGAAGATTCTCATTTGCAATTCAAGAGCGATGGAATTAAGTTCAAGCCTTGATAGATGACTTACAGCAAGGCTTAGGCTTAAGCTTGGCTTAGGCTAGGCTTAGGCTAGGCTTAGGCTAGGCTTAGGCTAGGCTTAGGCTAGGCTTAGGCTAGGCTTAGGCTAGGCTTAGGCTAGGCTTAGGCTAGGCTTAGACTAAGGCTTTTAAGTCATCAAGACTGATAGACTTTGAGACAACAGCCGTGAATTCAGCACCAGATTCAGATTCGGGTCGGAGCTTTGCCAGGAATATTCCAAACGGATCATTAGGTTTTAAAGTTAACAGTAAAGCAGGCAAAGTTGAGCTTTTGGCGAGTCTAGAAAGAGAAACTCTACGTATTAAGACTGCAGATAAAGCAAGGCCAGATAAAGCCAGACCAGATAAAGCAAGACCAGGTAAAGCTAGAAGCCAGGCCAGGACTTGGCTTTGCCTAGTCTAGCTTGCCTCAATACACCTCCAATAATTTCAAGATACAGCGCCAACAACTTCATCTCATAGCTAGCTGAGTGTAAAGACTAAATATAAGCTTGTTATCTAAATATCTTAAAGTAAACAAAAATCTGAACATTGAACTCAAGCTCATTGCCAGCTTCAAAATATAACAAGCCAAAAGCACTCATCGAATTGCAATTGCAAAAGCAATTCCAGATTCATTTCAAGAAGCATCTGAACTTGCGAACGAAATAATGAAAACAAAATACGGTTCTGATTGTAAATGAAAAATATTTAGAAAGAATTTCCGACAAAAAAAACCGATTTCTCGAATGTCCATCCATCCTTTTCCCCAAAACTCTCATCATAAAAGGAAAAATCGCTCAAATAAGATGCTAAAAATGAGAAGATTATGCAGAAAATCTTTCGAAAAACGGAAAAAGCCTTTAACTTTCCCCTTTCTTAGCCATCTGCCTATGAAACCGTATTGGAACCGTATTGGAAGCTATTAGATCAGAGAAGGAACCCTATTGGAACCGTATTGGAACCGTATTGGAATCCCATTGGAAGCTATTAGATCAGAGGAAGAACCGTATTGGAACCGTATTGAAACTTGAGAGCGAAATAATGAAAACAAAATACCGTTCTGATTGTAAATGAAAAATATTTACAAAGAATTTCCGGCCAAAGTTCGATTTCTCAAATGTCCACCCATCCTTTTCCCCAAAACTCTCATCATAAAAGGAAAAATCACTCAAATAAGATGCTAAAAATGAGAAGATTATGCAGAAAATCTTTCGAAAAACGGAAAAAGCCTTTAATTTTCCCCTTTCTTAACCATCTGCCTATGGAAAAGCTGTTTTTACTTAGAAAATTTCGCGATTTCTTTTAGATTTCCTAAGCCCCAATTTGCCTAATTGAGCTTGAGCTTATTGGAAATGAAAATGTGATCTTTTTAAATGAAAATAGACTGGATTTAAAGGTTTTTAGCTTTTATTTTTTTGCATAAAGATTACTGAAAGAAATTTCCGGATAAAGCTAATTTTCAACGGTTAATTTTATCAATGATGGAAAGGAGATAAGAAATTATTTTGGAAATCGCATTTTTTCGATATTTTTGTGCATTAATGCGGACGCTTTCCACAATTTTGAAAGAGTTTTGAAAGTTTCTGGTTTCTGGTTTTGAGGGTTTCCGGTCTGGCATACGAATCTTAAACTTGGGTAATTAAACCGAGATCGTGGCCTCTGTCTGGGTATAGGCAAAGGCCGTGTGCCAGACGGCGCTTTTTCTTACAAGGGACACAGGGTACGCACAAAGTACGCACCAATGCCAGAAGCTGATTTTTTGGAAAAACTGCACAAAAGATAAGTACATTTGTCAGTCTCCAAAGAAAAGAAGAGATGTGCCAGATGGCAAAAACTCAAAACTTTCAAATTCTTTCGAAAGTTGTCTTCTCATAAACGGATTGGACCTTTTAATATCTTCGTTTTCATTTCCTTGACCATTAGAGCGTTTTTGCGGATCATTTGGTTTCTGGTTTTGAGGGTTTCCGGTCTGGCACACAAATCTTAAACTTGGGTAATTAAACCAAGATCGTGGTCTCTGTCTGGGTATAGGCAAAAGGCCGTGTGCCAGACGGCGCTTTTCCTTACGAGCGACATATAGGGTACGCACAGTAACGGAAGGTATAAAATAAAACCCAAAACTTAAAAATTCTTTGAAAGCTTTCTTCTCATAGACGGATTGAACTTTTTAATATTGGGTTGATGCATAATTATCCGGACTTCTTTTATAAATGATTTTATTTAACAAAAAATAACATAAATAGTTAGAAAAATATGTTTAATTGATTATTCTGGAGCATATTCACCGCCTACATCAATAACTGATTGCCATTTGCTTGGAAGACGATCGATTCCACGAGCGAAGAATAAACGATCTTTGGAGGCAATCCACGCTTTAACATCGTCTATCAAGTCATCCAAATCGTTGTAGATCTTATTTGTTTGCCAATTTTTGAGCGATCGATTGACGTGGTAGTCCGTTGGGGCTTCAGTAGGAGAATATGGCGGGTGTGGAAGAAGATCCCAGCCCTTACTAGCGATGGATTCGACGACATGGCGCTCAACGTGCGGACGTGCGTTATCGTGGTGAAAGACGATGTTGTTCTTTTTGCGCGGTCTTCGTGCCTGAATCGTGTGGGACCCATCCAGCCAATTTCCATACTTTGCCAAGCTTTTTGAGATGGCGCACGATCGTTGACTGGTCAACATTGAATTCATCTGCCAGCATTCTGGTTGTCAGGCTTTCGTCTTCTTCAACGGCTTCCAGAAGTGCCTTGTCATCGAATTCTGATGGCCGTCCTCTTCCTGGTTCATCATCAACACTTGTGTTACCGGACTTGAAACGATCGAACCATTCATAAACTGTTGCACGTCCAATTGTTCCTTGACCAAAAAGTTCTTTGAGATCGCGAAACGACTCTGCGGCAGACCATCCCTTTTCGAAGTGGTAGAGCATGATATGGCGAAGATGGATATGATTGTCGACACGCATTTTGTTCACTAAAGAATAACGAATATTTAAAAAAAAGAAATAGACAAAAAGCTTTCAAAACAAAAAAGATACAAGCACGCAAAAAGAAGTCCGGATAATTATGCATCAACCCAATATCTTCGTTTCCATTTTTTTTTGACCATTAGAGCGTTTTTGCGGATCATTTAAGAATTTCGGGGTTTTTTTTTTGAGCATTGAACATTTGAAAGGAATAATAAACGAAATTTTGAATCTTTTTACAGAATTTGTTTTTTATATAACCAAATTTGCAGGCTAACATTCACATTTTAAAAAGTGAGCTTAAAAAATTGATACTTAACGTGAGGATTTCAAAATTGATAGCGTAAGTAAAGGTGTTCAAGAATGAAAGCAATAGCAATTTGTTGCTATAAAAAATTACCGTATTTTCTGTGATAGTAGTGCGCACAACTATTTTACAATCCCCCTCCAGCCTGCACTACCTATTACATTACTATTACAGACTGCACTACTATTACAGAAAATACGGTATCCGAAAAATTACTAGGTCAAGCTTTTTCTAAAAGAGAATTCATCATATTGACAAATATTTCAAGAAATTGAAAGCTTCAGCGAAATTGGGAAAAGCAAATATAGACGAAAGAATTTGAAGGGGATTCGAGAGGGGATTCGAGAGGGGAAATGACCTAAACCAAGTTTGAACTATTGAGTTGATGAGCTGAAAACTGCCGGACTTTGAACTAAAATTTATCCAACATAAAACCATAAACTCATTCCAAATAATTCCCATTATTATTGACGACTTCTGCTCATTTTGCAGGCAATTTGCGGATTCCTCTTTCGTAGTAGGATTTTGGTTTGTGTGTCAGACAAGTGTGAGACTCAAAAATGGAGGACTGGAGATGTCAGCTCTCAACCCAGTTTGAGCACTTTCTTCAAAAGAAACCCATTTTGGTGTCAATGGAAAAGTTGTAGAGAATCAAAAATTAGGCTTATAGCCAAATTTCCAAAAAGATACACTTAGTAGATTCGCTTAAAATGCAAGTTTTATGAAAATTCGTAAATTTGGGATTTCTTCAAAACCAGTTTTTGAATCGTTCTGAAAATTTGGATATAAGCTTGATTTTTGATTCTCTACAACTTTTTCATTGACACCAAAATGGGTTTCTTTTGAAGAAAGCGCTCAAACTGTCACATATGACAATAGCCAGCGGTTTTTCGATTCACCAACCCAATAGGAACCGTGTTGGAATCGTATTGGAATAAAATAGGAACCATATATCCTCATTTTGTCCTCATCAGATATCCTCATCTTGTCGTGTCCAGTCGAGAGAACGGAAACTTCTCGCGCACCCCTTTCGTTAATCCTAAGGCTGTTGATCAAGAAAAATCCCAATAGATTGAGATTAGCCTTGATTTGAGGAGAAGTCAATGTCGAATTTGAAGATTCGGAAACGGGCAGAGGAGATTGGAAAGCAGAGAGTGAAGGGGGTTATGTAAAAGCCCTGTGCCAGACGACGAGCGATTACGAAGAACACACAGAACACACAAAATCGCCGCACAAAGAACACAAAGAACACACAAATTTTAAGCTGAACTACTAAGTGTATCTTTTTGGAAA